GGATCTTTTTATTTGTACGTATGATGATGGTGCCTGTGTCTGTACAATGATGATCGTGGTGCATTTTGTTGTGCTAATGCCGTGTAATGTCTGTGTGTTCGTGTGAATGTGTACACATTCACAGAATCTAGGGGTGTCAACGGAACACAATAACATTTGCATGCAGAAGGCTTCGATGGATCTCTCATTGCTTGGAAGGGTAAAGCACACACACACACCGCACTTGTACGCACGTACAAAGACAAAGATCCCCCGTATAGCCTTAACAAACTGTTGAGGCAACAGCGCTGTAAGCGAGCATCTATGAAGCCTGGCACGGCACACGAGAGGCTGGGTGGCCAGCACCACGCTCGGCCCCCTTTGTCTCCCCAGTCGCAATGATCATACACCGCACCAGGTACTCATTTGAGGCTGAGTCGACCTAGGGGAGGCCCGGGACCGATTCAAATAATCGTCACCGGTGTTGGTGGTCGTGAGCGGGAATCGAACTCGGGTCACCGGGTTCGTAGCGGAGCGCGCCAACCGCTGCACCACCGCTCCCCTGCCACGTACACGCACGCACGCACTCATGCACGTGTAGATAGACGCACGCTGACGATTACTCGTCAGGGATTTGTATTTGCCATCGGCCTTAACGAGAACTGATTTCTCACGCGATCCACAACATCCGCCCGTGGACCGCGATCCACGCATCGGCCACCACGGTGTCGCGTCGTTTCCGTGAAGACGGCCACGACGATTTTCATTGTCCCCCCCTCCACCTCCCCCGCCCCCCTACCAGGTGAGCGACGAGGTCACCATGGACGACCTGCTTCGTTACCACGGCCGCTCTCCGCTCTGGAAGAGGATCGTCAACGGCATCCGTCTGCTGCGGGTGAGGTCCCCGTAGACAAATGTGAGGACGGGGAGACACGGTGTGGCCGACTCAAATCGCTCTCGCTGGATCTTTAACGTCCGCTGTGGGTGAAGTGGACGACGCGTAGTGTTTGGATTCACCTGCGGTGGACGTCATCCGTCATCAGGTTTTCTTCCGATTCCGTTCCCATGACGTACGTGTGCACGTACGTCATGGGAACGGAATCCAAAATAAAATTACTTTATCGGTACCGAGGCTCCCGCAAGGCCACGTGGGAGGGCTGCGTGTGGCACGGATTGGTGGCAGCTACCGTGGAGTGGCGCCGGTCGTGTCGCTACGGCTCTGCGGGGAGTAACGACGCCTTTAAGAACAACGGCGCTGCTACTACGCCCCTCTAAATAAAATTAACGCTGAGCCGCTCACGCGTTCCAAAATGCGGTGGTAAACGAGACACACCACAGCCTGCAACTTGCAGACGTCTTGAAACGAAGGGAGAGGGATAACGTGGCGAATGAGCAAACCCACTTGGCCGGGTCACTTGAAAATAACTAATAGCTCAGTGACCAGGTGCGATAAAAACAATGTGTTTAGTTTTATTTGTTTACCTTTCCTAAATGTTGCACTCCCATCTTGTTTTCGTGTTTTGTTTGTCGTTGTAACGTTTTGACCTCATGCCCCCTACTGGACATCTACGAAAAAGAGCTTTACAGCTCATCGGATTCCCCCTGTAGTCCAAATAAAGATTCTGATTCTAATTTCACACCGCCCCGATGCTGTCATCGGGGCGGTGTCACGAGGTCACGGTGACCTCGTGACCCCATGACTGTGTGACCTCTTGACATCGCGACCTCGTGACCTCGTGTTCCGGCGTCGCGTGGGGAGCAGTTCCTGTACGGGGCGCAAGCGCGCGTGCACCGGTGGCAGCGGCGCCTGGCCACGTTCCGCGTCTCCACCGAGGGCAGCGCTCGCGACATCTACGGGGCCATCACGCGGGCGCTGCCCCACTACTACGAGGTGAGGAGGCTCGCCGGAGCAGCCGCACCCGTGTGTACGTGTGTGTGTGTATGTGGATGTGTGTACATGTGTGTGTGAGTGTGTGTGTGTGTACATGTGTGTGAGTGTGTGTGTGAGTGTGTATGTGGGTGTGTGTATGTGTGTGTGTATGTGGGTGTGTGTACATGTGTGTGTGAGTGTGTGTGTGTGTACATGTGTGTGTGTGAGTGTGTGTGTGAGTGTGTGTATGAGTGTGTGTATGTGGGTGTGTGTACGTGTGTGTGTGTGAGTGTGTGTGTACATGTGTGTGAGTGTGTGTGTGTATGTGGGTGTGTGTATGTGTGTGTGTGTATGTGGGTGTGTGTACATGTGTGTGTGAGTGTGTGTGTGTGTGTGTACATGTGTGTGTGTGAGTGTGTGTGTGAGTGTGTGTATGAGTGTGTGTATGTGGGTGTGTGTACGTGTGTGTGTGTGAGTGTGTGTATGTGGGTGTGTGTACGTGTGTGTGTGAGTGTGTGTATGTGGGTGTGTGTGGGTGTGTGTATATGGGTGTGTGTACGTGTGTGTGGGTGTGTGTACGTGTGTGTGTGAGTGTGTGGGTGAGTGTACATGTGTGTACGTGTGTGTACGTGTGTGTGTGGGTGTGTGTATGTGGGTGTGTGTGGGTGTGTGTATATGGGTGTGTGTACGTGTGTGTGTACGTGTGTGTGTGAGTGTGTGTATGTGGGTGTGTGTACGTGTGTGTGCGTGTGTGTACGTGTGCGGTGTGTGTGTGAGTCTGTGTATGTGGGTGTGGGGAGTGGTATTGTAGCGGTTAGCGCTACGCTGCGCTACGAACCTGGCGACCCGGGTTCGATTCCCGCTCACGGGCAACACCAGTGACGATTATCTGAACCGGTCCTGGGCCTCCCCTAGGTCGACTCAGCCTCAAATGAGTACCTGCTGCGGTGTGTAAATATCACCACTGGGGAGACAAAGACGATCGGGCGTGGTGCTGGCCACCCACCCCCTCGTGTGCCGTTCCGGCCTTCATAGGTGCTCGCTAACAGCACTTGCCCCTACAGTCTGTTAAGGCCATTCGGGGGATCTTTGGTCCCAGAGCTCCCCTAGGTCGACTCAGCCCTAAATGCGTACCTGCCGCAGTGTGGACACATCCTGCCAGGGGGCATCTTTGTCTGTGTGTGAATGCACGTGCACATCGGTCTCTCTCTGTGTGCGAGTGACTAGTCGTGGTCAACCACCATCACGGCAAGCTCCTGCTCAGGCTCCTGGAGCATCATCCTCATGTCCATCCTTGCTCAGGGAAAACCAAGTACGCTGCACACAGTCCACCACTCACACAGTCCACCACTCACACAGTCCACCACTCACACAGTCCACCACTCACACAGTCCACCACTCGCACAGTCCACCACTCACACAGTCCACCACTCACACAGTCCACCACTCACACAGTCCACCACTGGCACAGTCCATCACTGGCACAGTCCACCACTCACACAGTCCACCACTCGCACAGTCCACCACTCACACAGTCCACCACTCACACAGTCCACCACTCACACAGTCCACCACTGGCACAGTCCACCACTGGCACAGTCCACCACTCCCATAGTCCACCACTCACACAGTCCACCACTCACACAGTCCACCACTCACACAGTCCACCACTCACACAGTCCACCACTCGCACAGTCCACCACTCGCACAGTCCACCACTCACAAAGTCCACCACTGGCACAGTCCACCACTCACACAGTCCACCACTGGCACAGTCCACCACTCGCACAGTCCACCACTCACAAAGTCCACCACTCGCACAGTCCACCACTCACAAAGTCGACCACTGGCACAGTCCACCACTCACACAGTCCACCACTGGCACAGTCCACCACTCGCACAGTCCACCACTCACAAAGTCCACCACTCGCACAGTCCACCACTCACAAAGTCCACCACTGGCACAGTCCACCACTCGCACAGTCCACCACTCACACAGTCCACCACTGGCATAGTCCACCACTCACACAGTCCACCACTCACACAGTCCACCACTCACACAGTCCACCACAGGTACAGTCCACCCCTCCCCCGTGACGACGGTAACGACGTCACTCTCTCCCGTCGCGTTGCCAGGCTGGACCAGGGAGCACTTCTCCGACGTGGCAATGCTCTTCAGCTCTTGCCCGGACGTGGTGTCGGCCGACATGCCCACCGCCATCGAGGTGACTATCCCAGACTATGCCGCCGGCCTGGCATGGGCACTGGTATGGCCCTGCCTGGCATAGCCCTGCCTGGCATGGGCAGGCCTGGCATGGGCAGGCCTGGCATGGCCCTGCCTGGCATCGCCCTGCCTGGCATGGGCCTGCCTGGCATGGGCAGGCCTGGCATGGGCAGGCCTGGCATGGCCCTGCCTGGCATGGGCAGGCCTGGCATGGCCCTGCCTGGCATGGGCAGGCCTAGTATGGGCAGGCCTGGCATCGCCCTGCCTGGCATGGGCCTACCTGGCATGGGCCTGCCTGGCATGGCCCTGCCTGGCATGGCCCTGCCTGGCATGGGCAGGCCTGGCATGGCCCTGCCTAGCATGGCCCTGCCTGGCATGGCCCTGCTTGGCATGGGCAGGCCTGGCATGGCCCTGCCTGGCATGGGCAGGCCTAGTATGGGCAGGCCTGGCATCGCCCTGCCTGGCATGGGCCTACCTGGCATGGGCCTGCCTGGCATGGCCCTGCCTGGCATGGGCAGGCCTGGCATGGCCCTGCCTAGCATGGCCCTGCCTGGCATGGCCCTGCTTGGCATGGGCAGGCCTGGCATGGCCCTGCCCGCCATGGACCGACCTTGCATGGCCCTGCCTGGCATGGCCCTGCCTGGCATGGGCAGGCCTGGCATAGCCCTGCCTAGCATGGCCCTGCCTGGCATGGCCCTGCCTAGCATGGCCCTGCCTGGCATGAGCAGGCCTAGCATGGCCCTGCCTGGCATGGCCCTGCCTGGCATGGGCCGGCCTGGCATGGTCCACCCTGGCATAGCTTAGACGAGCCCATTGTTACCTGAGCCTAGATCTGTAATGTTAGCAAGCAGACTTGTGTCCATCTCTCCAGGTAGAGGTAGCGCAGCGCGCTGCACCGCCGCTCCCCACGATGATGACGATGTTGCACTGTGCTGCCTTGTCTCTCCGTGCAGGCTATGAGTACAGCTATCCGCCAGCAGGGCCAAGAACAGGAGTTTGGGGCTCTGGATGTCAAGGTGAAGGCCGCAGCCCCCTCAGCCACGAGGGACCGCCACATTCAACAAACCAGAAGGCAGCAAGAATTGGCAGAGAGTCCAACTGCGACCTCATTTCAAGATGCTGGACAGGAACAGTGGGGTGCATTTATTTAAAAGAGAGAAAGTGGCAGTCAGTCATAGCTCTATGTGTGAGTCGATGGCTCTCTGTGTGAATCTATGGGTCTGTGTGAGCCTAAGGGTCTCTGTGTGAGTCTATGGCTCTCTGTGTAAATCTATGGGTCTCTGAGCGAGTCTAAGTGTCTCTGTGTGAGTCTTTCGGTCTCTGTGTGAATCTATGGGTCTCTGTGGAAGTCTATGGGTCTCTGTGCGATTCTATGGGTCTCTGTGTGAGTCTATGGTTCTCTATGTGAGTCTATGGGTCTCTGTGTGAGTCTATGGTTCTCTGTGTGAGTCTATGGGTCTCTGTGTGAGTCTATGGTTCTCTGTGTGAGTCTATGGGTCTCTGTGTGAGTCTATGGTTCTCTGTGTGAGTCTATGGTTCTCTGTGTGAGTCTATGGGTCTCTGTGTGAGTCTATGGTTCTCTGTGTGAGTCTATGGGTCTCTGTGTGAGTCTATGGTTCTCTGTGTGAGTCTATGGGTCTCTGTGTGAGTCTATGGTTCTCTGTGTGAGTCTATGGTTCTCTGTGTGAGTCTATGGGTCTCTGTGTGAGTCTATGGTTCTCTGTGTGAATCTATGGTTCTCTGTGTGAGTCTATGGTTCTCTGTGTGAGTCTATGGGTCTCTGTGTGAGTCTATGGTTCTCTGTGTGAGTCTATAGGTCTCTGTGTGAGTCTATGGTTCTCTGTGTGAGTCTATGGGTCTCTGTGTGAGTCTATGGGTCTCTGTGTGAGTCTATGGGTTTCTGTGTGAGTCTATGGTCGCTGTGTGAGTATATGGGTCTCTGTGTGAGTCTATGGTTCTCTGTGTGAGTCTATGGGTCTCTGTGTGAGTCTATGGTTCTCTGTGTGAGTCTATGGTTCTCTGTGTGAGTCTATGGGTCTCTGTGTCAGTCTATGGTTCTCTGTGTGAGTCTAATTGAGGCAGTCCTAGGCAGAGGAGAATGGGAGGGGTGTGAGCCTGGACTTGAACAGGGGCGAGGTGTCAGCAACAGGGAGGGCATAGGGAGGAAGTTTCAGCCAGGGGGGGCAGCAGAGGAGAAGGAGTGACCTCCCACTGAGCGGAAGTTGAGTGAGGGCTTCAACAGACAGCCTTGATTGCTGGAGCAGAGACTGCGTGGAGGGGAGTAGAGCTCGACCACAGAGAGAGAGACACGCAAACTCCAAATATACAGCAGGCATCATCAGGGTCGGGATCGAACCCACGACGTCCTGTGTACCAAGCGAGGTAGTTAACATCTCGCCACCATGGCGCCTGCATGCAGGGCGCCACGGAGTGGCTGCGCTCGGAGCGGAGTGGGGACGCAGGAGCCAAGTTCCGCGCGTTTCTGGAGAAGCACGGCCACCGCTGCCTCCGGGAGGTGAGAGCGTCCGCACGCGTCTTCGTCGTGTCCTTGCAGGCCGAGTCAACCTAGGGGAAGCCCACGATCGGTACTGAGGCTTGTCCCCAATGTTGTTGTTTCTGTGAGTAGAAATAGAACTTGGGTCGTTGGCAGATTCTTAGCGCAGCGCACTAACCGCTACACTGCCGCTCCACACAAAAACTAAGATCCCCATTATGGCATTCGCAAACTGTTGGGGCAAGTGCTGTTAGCAAGTAGCACCTATAAAGGCCGGCACTGTGGCACACGAGGAGGTGGGTGACCAGCACCCCGCCGGGCCGCCTTTGTCTCCCAAGTGGCGATGTTTACTGCACACCGCACCAGGCGATGTCGTTGTGTGTGTGTGCTCACGCGACGTCTGCGCTGAAGCACTGCACTGGGAATACCCTCCCCCCCGCCCCCTCCGGGAGGTGAGAGCGTCCGTGCGTGTCATCCTGTGTCACTTAAGGCCGAGTCGACCCAGGGGAAGCCCACAATCGGTTTACATGCCCGTCCCCTTCCCCTCCCCTCCCCCCGCGACGAAGGCCGAGTTCAGGGAGAAGTCGTGGGCCAGCGACCCCAGCACCATCGTCGCGGCGCTGCAGGCCGCGCTGCTCTGCCCCCAGGGCCCCCAGGGCCCCCAGGGCCCCCAGGGCCCCCAGGGCCCCCAGGGCCCCCAGGGCCCCCAGGGCCCCCAGGGCCCCCAGGGCCCCCAGGGCCAGGCGACGCGCAAGGGGGACGTGGGGGTCCACGAAGCCGTCGCTCGCCTCAGCTCCCCCGTGTCGGCCATGGGCAGGTGAGGCCAGTGCTGTGTCCTCACGTGTGTCCCCGTGTCCCTGTGTCCCACGTGTCCCTGTGTCCCTGTGTCCCACGTGTCCCCGTGTCCCTGTGTCCCACGTGTCCCTGTGTCTGTCCCCGTACCCTTACACCCTCATGTCCCTGTGGCCCCGTGCATCCTCGTCTCCCTGTGCCTCTGCCTCAATGCCTCCCTGTCCCCTTTCGTGCCCCCCCCCCCCCTGTGCCCCCCCACCACGCCCCCCAGGCGGATACTGTCGTGGGTCTTGCCCCACGCTCGCCGTGCCGTGGCGAACCGGGAGCAGGGCAAGTTTATCGCCATCAAGGTGAACGACGAGTTCAAGTCCGCATACTGGCAGCTGGCCAGGGCAATGCGACTCGAGGTGAGCGATCGGTGAACGAGTGGAGACGCGGGGGGGGGGGGGGGACACCGAGTTTGAGTCGCGCGCGCGAAGATACACGCCCCTAGCCCCGCCCCCTGGCCCTGCTCGGCCCCCAAGTCACACGACTAAGACTAGCACCTCCACCACCATCATTATCAATACACCACCACCACCACTATCATCATTACCATTATACCTCCACCACCATCATTACCATTACACCACCACTATTATCATTACACCACCACCATTATTACCATTACACCACCATTATTATAATTACACCTCCACTACCGTCATTATCATTACACCACCACCATTATTACCATTACACCTCCACCACCATCATTATCATTATACCTCCACCACCGTCTTTACCATTACACCACCGTCATTACCATTACACCACCACCATCATTATCATTACACCTCCACCACCGTCATTACCATTACACCACCACTATTATCATTATCATTACACCACCACCATTATTATCATTACACCTCCACCACCGTCTTTACCATTACACCACCATCATTACCATTACACCACCACCATCATTATCATTACACCACCACCATCATTATCATTACACCACTACCACCGCCAGCACTGCTAACAATTGTTTTACTATGTTTATTTTACCAGGTAAGACCCACTTAGCTTTATAGTTCTTTTTCAGAAGCGACCTGGCCACAAATTATAGCTCAAGCACGTGGCTTATCATCACTTGGGCATTTATAGCAGCCAAATCCTCTAAGTGTGGAGGGAAAAACCGAAGAACCACGAGAACAATGCACGCGACCACGGGGAGGGAGGCACCACAAACTCCAAATATACAGCAGCAGCAGCAGGCATCAGGGTTGGGATCGAACGCACGACCTCCTGGATACCAGGCGAGGTAGTTAACATCTCCTAGCCACCGTGATGATGATGATGATGAGAGAGACACAAACTCCAAATATACAGCAGCAGCAGCAGGCATCAGGGTTGGGATTGAACGCACGACCTCCTGGATACCAGACGAGGTAGTTAACATCTCATAGCCACCGTGATGATGATGATGAGAGAGACACAAACTCCAAATATACAGCAGCAGCAGGCATCAGGGTTGGGATCGAACCCACGACCTCCTGGATACCAGGCGAGGTAGTTAACATCTCATAGCCACCGCGACGCCCCTCCCTAGATGTCTCGCAAGGCCATCTGCGGCTTAGAAAATAGCCGGTGGGGGTTAAAAACAACCCGAACCGTGCTGGCTCGGCTCGTAAAGCACAAATAGAAGGACGGGGGATGGGGTGGTGGCACGCGTGCCCAGTCTCACTCCTCCTCTCCGCCCCCCCCACCCGACTCGCCCACAGGGCTTCCTGCCGGACGACGACCTCCTCTTCTTCCTGACGCACGCGGAGATCGCCACCGTTCTCAACGAGCGGCCGCCCAACCTCGTCGTCAAGTGAGACGCCGTTTGTCGCTTCCATCACTTTTTGTTGTTTGCGTCTTTTCGTTTTGGTGCCGTTTCTTACATTTTTTAAAATACATTTTTAATTTTGCTCAGTAGTCGGGATTTCCATTTGCTTGCTACGTGTGTGTGTTGCCCTGTGCATAGCCAACCGCGTATATGGGATACGGTCCGTATATATCACGAACGTGCGGCATTGTGGGATGCTACTGGCATGAATACCGCTCTATTAAAGGACAGTATTATTCTTGTTGTGATTGTCGTTGTGTTACGCGACCCTCCGCGTCGTCTCTGCCGGCCAACCGCGAGGTCAGCTGACGACGCCTGCGCGATTTGTCCGCGGGAGGTCCTGTTGTGCCCCGCATGCTGAACCCCGCATGAATCTTGTTCCGGCCACAGAGACTGTGTGTGTGTAACACCCCCCCTCCTCGCCGCTCGAATATTCTGGCTTCAGAATCAGGATCAGTATTTTTACTGCAGAAGGAATCTGATGAGCTATAAAGCTCTTTTTCACAGATATCCAATAGGGACAGGTTAGAGCGTTACAACAACAAACACAACTCAAAAGCACGATTGGAGTGCAAATTATAGGAAAGGTAAACAAATCACTTTAAAACTATATATACAAATAAACTAAATTACGTTTACCTAACTATGTAGACCCACTGAGCCATTAGCTTCGTTTACCGTATCAACTTGGCCACAAATGATAGCTGAACGAAGTGGCCTATCATCATCATCATCATGTGGAAATCTAGAGCAGCAAAATAATTCTAAATAATGTAGATTCATGATTCTAAATGCGGTAAAATACCGGAAGACCCGGAGAAAAAAATCCATGCAGCCACGGGCAGAGAGACACCGCAAACTCCGAGTATACCGCAGGAGTCAGGGTTGGGATCGAACCCCAGACCTCCTGCATACCAGGCGAGGGAGTGGACACTCCGGTCGTTTTTTGCACAGTTTGCCGTTGTGACTTTCTGACCCGCCCCCCTCTGATACACCTGTGAAAAAGAGCTTCATAGCTACTCTTTGGTTCTATTCGGTAAAGTCACGTAGGTAAAAATAAAATAACAAAAATCACGACGTTTCGGCCACAACACAAGTGGCCTTCATTAGGTGAAGGGACCGGACTGTCCAGAGGACAGCATTGGAGTGAAGACAGCCAAGCCCAGGTCGTGTCCTTTAAGCTGTGTGGGAGGAAACAAAAAACGCCTTGACAAAGGAATTAGCATAACAATGATGTACTGGACAAGCACGGTGGGGGGGGGGGGAGTTTACATAATGTTGGTGTGAAGGGAAATAAGCTGCTGTGAAAGTTTGGGATACCACTACTTGAAAAAATATACTGTACCATTGAAAATTAGTTTAATGTTTGGTTTGATTTAGAACATCTTTCCAATGATTGCTTAATTTGAAATCTTCTCGGTTGAAATTGTGTCCGTGTTTGTAAATCTGAATTGCCTCGTGGACAAATCTCTGATAAAAACCCGTGGGTTTGCAGAGAACCTTGGTATCGGAGAAAACTATATCGTGATCCCCCACAACGTTGTAACAGTGATCAGCTACGGCAGGAGTATTCGTTCTGCCGTGTTTCAAATCTGATTTGTGCTCGCGAATTCGGTCAGAGACATGTCATTTCGTCTCCCCGATATATCGGATTTCTTCAGGATAAATCGACATTCCGATTCTTCTCAAGAGAATCTGATCCTGTTTTCGAACCGCTCTGGATGTGAACTCGGGCTCTCGGCGGTTGCCGGCTCAGCTTCTCTCTGATCTCTGAGCACCCCCCCCCCCCCCCCCGTGTCCCCACAGAGCCCAGCGGAGGCGCAGGGCGCTGGCCCTGCAGATGTCGTTGAATTTCCCGGAGATCAGCGTGGCCAAACCGCGTCCCGTGGCGAGCTGGGAAGGGACGGGGCATGCTGGGGGGCAGAGCCTCACGGGTGGGGGGGGGGGCATCGTCAGCACAGCCACGTGGACGCATCAACGTCAACACCGTCATCACCATCAACGTCATCATCGACACATCAACGTCAACACCGTCATCACCATCAACGTCATCATCTACAAATCAACGTCAACACCGTCATCACCATCAACGTCATCATCGACACATCAATGTCAACACCGTCATCACCATCAACGTCATCATCGACGCATCAACATCAACACCGTCATCACCATCAACGTCATCATCGACACATCAACGTCAACACCGTCATCACCATCAACGTCATCATCTACAAATCAACGTCAACACTGTCATCACCATCAACGTCATCATCGACACATCAACGTCAACACCGTCATCACCATCAACGTCATCATCTACAAATCAACGTCAACACCGTCATCACCATCAACGTCATCATCGACACATCAACGTCAACACCGTCATCACCATCAACGTCATCATCTACAAATCAACGTCAACACCGTCATCACCATCAACGTCATCATCGACACATCAACGTCAACACCGTCATCACCATCAACGTCATCATCGATGCATCAACGTCAACACCGTCATCACCATCAATGTCATCATCGACGCATCAACGTCAACACCGTCATCACCATCAACGTCATCATCGACACATCAACGTCAACACCGTCATCACCATCAACGTCATCATCGACACATCAACGTCAACACCGTCATCACCATCAACGTCATCATCGACACATCAACGTCAACACCGTCATCACCATCAACGTCATCATCGACACATCAACGTCATCACCATCATGATCACCATCGACATCAACATCGTTGTGGTCACCATCAACATCACCATTGTCATCAACATCGCCATGAACATTGCCAACAATATCACCATCACTATCACCATCACCACACCGTCACATCAACACCAACACATCATGATGCGTGGTGTGAGTGCTGACTATAGTGTACTATAGTGTACTATAGTGGCGATAGTGTGCTATAGTATACTATAGTGTACTATAGTGGCAATAGTGTGCTATAATATACTATAGTGTACTATAGTGTACTATACAGGCATGCCCATAAGCTAGGGTCATGGCGTGGTGTGCTGCGGTGTGCTGCGGTGTGCTGCGGTGTGATGTGTGCTGTGGTGTAATGCGTGTGTAGTATTTGCTGCGGTGTGCTGCGGTGTGATGTGTGCTGCGGTGTGGTGCATGCTGCGTTGTGATGCGTGTGTGGTCTGTGCTGTGGTGTGTTGCGGTGTGTTGCGGTGTGGTGTGTGCTGCGGTGTGCTGCGGTGTGCTGCGGTGTGTTGTGCTGCAGGACTGCCAATAAGCCAGGGTACGGTGAGCGGTCCGGCTCGCGTGGTGCGCTCCCTGGCCGGAGCGAGCTCCATCAAGCGCGGAGACATCCTCATTGTCTCCAGCACCGACATCGGCTGGAGTCCCTACTTCCCGCTCCTGGGGGGCCTTGTCACTGAGCTGGGGGGGCTCCTCTCTCACGGTGAGTTGTGGGGGGGGGCCCGGGTTAAAAAGAGCTTCATAGCTCATCGGATTCCTCCAGTATAAATACATATTCAGATTCTGAGAATATTCAGCTCCTATGAATGCCCACATGATGGTGATAGGACACTTCGTTGAGCTATCAATTGGGGCCAGGTCGCTTCTTAAAAAGAGCTACATAGCTCAGTGGGCCTTACCTGGTAAAATTAAACAAATTGTTGAGTTTATCGTTTAGACTCGCTCGGGGCAAGAAGCTCCCGGAGAGTGGAGCGAAACGTCGGACATCGCGCCCAGCGACGCGTGGCGACGACGTGGGGGGAAACCGCATCGGAGAGCTATTCAACTAAAACTTATTTTTTATTTTACCAGGTAAGGCCCACTGAACTATGTAGCTCTTTTTCAGAAGCCACCTGGCTATCACATGTTATGGCTCAACGAATGTCCTCATCGAAAGCGGAATGTACAGCAGCAGTCGAATTCTCTAAACGCGTGGTGACGTCGATTCTACACGTGGAGGGAAAAACCGGAGGACCCAGAGAAAAATCCACACGACCACGGGGAGAGAGAGACACCACAAAACTCCAAAATATACAGCAGCAGGCGTCTGGGTACCCACGACCTCCTGCGTACCAAGCGAGGTAGTTGACATCTTCTAGCCACCACGGCGCCCCGGAACGACCGCAAAAGAATGCCCCGCAGGCGGCGGCGTCGATCTCTCATCGCGCAAACAACAACCCCGTGGGTGCTGACGGAGCCCCGTGGGTGCTGACGGAGCCCCGCGTCGACATCGCCACATCTCACTCGCTGCGTGAACGATGACCGGATGCGCCTCCCTGGCCCGCCGCACTCTCTCCCTGCCAACGGCAGGGCGGCACGTGTGTATGTTGAACTTCTTTCGCACCTTACGTAGCCAACCGTGCTTATAGGAGGTGCGGCGGTGGGGGGGGGGGGAACAACAAACTGAACACAAAAATCAGTTCTAAAGAAATGGGTCTCTGTGCGAGTCGATGGGTCTCTGTGTAAGTCTGTGGGTCTCTATGTATGTCCATGGATCTCTGTGTGAGTCTATGTGCGTACGTTTCGCACCGTACGAAGCCAACCGTGCTGATCGGAGGTGCGGTCTGCGTTTGCACGTCCTTCAATTCCGCTCTCGCGCCCTCTCTGAGTGCGTGGATGGCTCTACCGTTTAGGGAGGCCTTCGTTCAGCAGTGGCTCGATCGGAGCCGACGATGACACACCCATCGAGTCTGTGGATGACCCCCTCCAAGTGCGACAGGCAGCCCGTGTGTACATCTACGCGAGCCGAGAAGTGTCGCGCCTCTCGTCACCGCAGGCGACCCTATGCGCTAACGCCTGCGCACAACGATGGGAACGGACAGATCTCTCTCCCAACGAGACGCTTCTCAAGGACCGTAGGGATTTCGTCGGTGCATCGCCAAGTCACCAAGCCGTGGCACCCCCGATTAGCCCGGGTTGGCTACGCACGGCACGAGAGAAGTTCAACGTAGACGAGTGGGTAGCGGTGTGTGCACGAGTACGGTCTTTGTGGTTACCGACGTGTTCTTGACTGGGTTATAAGAATACAGCCCCCCTCCAGCAAGGTGGGGGGGCTTGGCACCCTCCCCCCCCCCCATGCTAAGGGGGTGATTATCATCACCCAGTGCCGGATGATCCTGGTGGCAAAAGTAGCTACACGTGTAGTAGTAGTAGCTACATGTGTAGTAGTAGCTACATGTGTAGTAGTAGCTACATGTTTAGTAGCTACATGTGTAGTAGTAGCTACATGTGTAGTAATAGCTACACGTGTAGTAGTAGCTACATGTGTAGTAGTAGCTACATGTGTAGTAGTAGCTACATGTGTAGTAGCTACATGTGTAGTAGTAGCTACATGTGTAGTAGTAGCTACATGTTTAGTAGCTACATGTGTAGTAGTAGCAGCTACATGTGTAGTAGTAGCAGCTACATGTGTAGTAGTAGCTGCACGTGTAGTAGTAGCTGCACGTGTAGTAGTAGCTACATGTGTAGTAGCTACATGTGTAGTAGCAGCTAAACGTGTAGTAGTAGCTGAACGTGTAGTAGTAGCTGCACGTGTAGTAGTAGCTGCATGTGTAGTAGTAGCTACATGTGTAGTAGCTACATGTGTAGTAGCCACTGCACGTGTAGTAATAGCTACATGTGTAGTAGTAGCTACATGTGTAGTAGTAGCACCATAATATGTAGTAGTAGCTACTAAATATGTAGTAGCTACATGTGTAGTAGTAGCTACATGTGTAGTAGTAGCTGCACGTGTAGTAGTAGCTACATGTGTAGTAGCTACATAATATGTAGTAGTAGCTACATAATATGTAGTAGTAGCTACTAAATATGTAGTAGCTGCACGTGTAGTAGTAACTACATGTGTAGTAGCTACGGGCTCCGCACTTTCAAGGGCCCCGCGCTAAATGCTTTCAAGCTATCAATTCCGGTTCAGTGATTCTGCACTTGCTTTATTACTATAGTACTATACCGCCTTCAACTTTCATGAACGACTGGGTGTTTAAGGTTAGCGATTTGTCATAGTATCTGCCTGTATAGCAAATGAAAAAATACAATAACTTTACTATGCAAGTCACAAATTTGTGTTATAATGTTTCTGTGTTTTTTTTTATTTAGGGCCCCTTTATAACATCAGGCTACAGGCCCCGTACTAGCTTCATCCGGCACTGCCACCACCACTACCACAGTGTTGGCCCTCCCCTTAACGATGTGTGGCTTGGACAGAGGCAGCGGCGCCTCTCTGCTGCCCAGCGCTTGCGTGAGACGACGCCACAAAGCGGCAGTCGTCTCAGCGCCGTGACCGCACTACATCTGGCCGTCGCCTTAGATCTGACCACGATCCGTGCGTGTCGCCCGCGTGTGTGGGTACGCGAGTGCGTGTGCGCGTGTGTGTGGGTACGTGTGTTTGCGTGTGTGTGTGTATGTACGTGTGTGTGTGGGTACGTGTGTGTGTGTGTGGGTACGTGTGTGTGTGGGTACGTGTGTGGGTACGTGTGTGGGTACGTGTGTGTGTACGTGTGTGTGTGGGTGCGTGTGTGTGGGTACGTGTGTGTGGGTACGTGTGTGTGTGGGTACATGTGTGTGTGTGGGTACGTGTGTGTGTGTGGGTACGTGTGTGTGTGTGTGTGTGGGTACGTGTGTGTGTGTGTGTGGGTACGCGTGCGTGTGTGTGTGTGGGTACGTGTGTGTGTGGGTACGTGTGTGGGTACGTGTGTGTGTACGTGTGTGTGTGGGTGCGTGTGTGTGTGTGGGTACGTGTGTGTGTGTGGGTACGTGTGTGTGTGGGTACGTGTGTGTGTGTGGGTACGTGTGTGTGGGTACGTGTGTGTGTGTGGGTACGTGTGTGTGTGTGTGTGGGTACGTGTGTGTGTGTGGGTACGCGTGCGTGTGTGTGTGTGGGTACGTGTGGTTGTGTGGGTACGTGTGTGTGTGTGGGTACGTGTGTGGGTACGTGTGGTTGTGTGGGTACGTGTGTGTGTGTGTGGGTACGTGTGTGTGTGGGTACGTGTGTGTGTGTGGGTACGCGTGCGTGTGTGTGTGTGGGTACGTGTGTGTGGGTACGTGTGTGTGTGTGGGTACGTGTGTGGGTACGTGTGTGTGTGTGGGTACGTGTGTGTGTGTGGGTACACGTGCTTGTGTGCGCAGGAGCGGTGGTGGCTCGTGAGTACGGGCTGCCATGCATCGTCAGCTGCAAGGGAGCGACGCATTTCTTCACGAGCGGTGAGCAAGGCTACCCGACTCTCCCCCCCCCTACCACCACTCGCGTCCCCACCCTCACGCCCGGCTCCCCCCTCTCTCCTCTCGCTCATTTCTTCCATCCCCCCCCCATCTCTCCTCCCCTCTCTCCCCGTGCAGGAGAGACGCTTCTGCTGAACGGGACGCAGGGCTTCGTGCAGAGAGTGGACGAGAAGTGACGGGCGGAGCGGACTGCGTCCGTCGGGAGCCCCCCTCGGTGGCATCCCACTCGAGAGCCCCCCCCCCCCCGGGGGTACCCCACTCAGTCTCGGCACAGAATACGAGTGGTGGTGGTGGTGGGGGCAGAGATAACAAGCTGCGATGGTGGGCGCTGGAGATGATGATGATGATAATGATGAAGGTGGTGATGGTGGTGATGATGGTGATGATGAAGGTGGTGCCGGTGATCGCATTCACGGCGATTACATTGCAGAAGAGCGTTATGTTGATGGCGATAAAGTCCAGTTACAATCTTGATGACATTTGTGATGATGTTGATGGTGGTGGTGAAGACGATTTGTGGGCAGTGTGTATTGCAACGGTTAGCGGTGCGCTACGAACCCCGAGTTTGGTTCCCGCTCACGGCCAACACCAGCAACGACTACCAGAATGGATTCGTCCTGGGCCTCCCGTAGGTCGACTCAGCCTCAAATTTCTACTTGGTGCGGTGTGTAACCATCGCCACTGAGGAGACAAAGTCGGCCAGGCGTGGTGCTGGCCACCCACCCCCTCGTGTGCCGTGCCAGCCTTCATAGGTGCTACTCGCTAACAGCACTTGCTCCTACAGGCTGTTAAGACTATATAGGGGATCTTTGTCTGGGTGAAGGCCGTGAGGTCGCAATGGCACTAGCCAAATAGATTAATATATTATCGTAGTTATCCGTGAGTAGGTGATGTCAGTGCGACATTTGTAATTGACTAGATGAAGAATGTGATTGTCCTACGTGAGTCGGTGATGGTTGTCCGACAACTCGGTATGAATCACTGATGGAGATACTGATAAAGGATATCGCCGATATATCGACGTGATTGGGTGACCGCGTTGTTCTGTAAACACGTGACCTGTACACAAAGTCTCACGCGACGATGAAGAGAGGAAGGAGCTACCCCACAATGCAATAGCTTGTAACTCCCCCCCCCCAGACATCCGTGCTCTCAACTCCCTGCTCCTCTTTCGCTTTCTAGAGATGTACATAGAGCCATAGACTCACCTCGAGTTCCACAGACTCACACAGAGATCCATAGACTCACCTCGAGTTTCATACACTCACACAGAGACCCAGACTCGCCTACAGTTCCATAGACACACAGAGACCCATAGACTCACCTCGAGTTTCATACACTCACACAGAGATCCATAGACTCACCTTGAGTTTCATAGACTCACACAAAGACCCAGACTCGCCTACAGTTCCATAGACTCACACAGAGACCCATAGACTCACCTTGAGTTTCATACACTCACATAGAGACCCAGACTCGCCTACAGTTCCATAGACTCACACAGAGATCCATAGACTCACCTTGAGTTTCATACACTCACACAGAGACCCAGACTCGCCTACAGTTCCATACACTCACACAGAGATCCATATACTCACCTCGTGTTTCATACACTCACACAGAGACCCAGACTCGCCTACAGTTCCATAGACTCACACAGAGACCCATAGACTCACCTTGAGTTTCATAGACTCACACAGAGACCCAGACTCACCTCGAGTTTCATACACTCAGAGACCCATAGACTCACCTTGAGTTTCATACACTCTCACAGAGACCCAGACACGCCTACAGTTCCATAGACTCACACAGAGATCCATAGACTCACCTTGAGTTTCATACACTCGCACAGAGACCCAGACTCGCCTACAGTTCCATAGACTCACACAGAGATCCATAGACTCACCTTGAGTTCCATAGACTCACACAGAGACCCATAGACTCACCTTGAGTTTCATAGACTCACACAGAGACCCAGACTCGCCTACAGTTCCATAGACTCACACAGAGATCCATAGACTCAGTATCACAGAGACCAGAGAACCATACACTCAAGCAGAGAGATGCGCTGTACGTATACATTGAAATGTTAAGTGTGTAAGCAGTTGCAATTGATAATGATACGTGGCCTGCAACAATAGGATATGACCTCTCTGAGAGGAGGAGAAAATCTCCCCGATTATTCATTTAATGTGAGCCAAACACTTGGATGTGTGAAGGAGTTGTTGGCTCCCGGGTCAGAGACACCGACCCCCTGGGCATCCATACCGTTGGGGTGAGCCTGGCTTCTCAGGCCAAGTAAGTCGCTGGGGCTCACCTATCTCTGTAGAGATATTGAGGCCTTGAATCACCTATCTCCGTAGAGATATTGAGGCCTTGACTCACCTATCGCTGTAGAGATATTGAGGCCTTGGCTCACCTATCGCTGTAGAGATATTGAGGCCTTGACTCACCTATGGCTGATATTGAGGCCTTGGCTCACCTATCTCTGTAGAGATATTGAGGCCTTGGCTCACCTATCTCTGTAGAGATATTGAGACCTTGACTCACCTATCTGTAGAGATATTGAGGCCTTGGCTCACCTATCTCTGTAGAGATATTGAGGCCTTGACTCACCTATCTCTGTAGAGATATTGAGGCCTTGACTCACCTATGGCTGTAGAGATATTGAGGCCTTAACTCACCTATGTCTGTAGAGATATTGAGGCCTTGACTCACCTATCACTCTAGAGATATTGAGGCCTTGACTCACCTATCTCTGTAGAGATATTGAGGCCTTGACTCACCTATGGCTGTAGAGATATTGAGGCCTTAACTCACCTATGTCTGTAGAGATATTGAGGCCTTGACTCACCTATCACTCTAGAGATATTGAGGCCTTGAATCACCTATCTCTGTAGAGATATTGACGCCTTGGCTCACCTGTGGCTGTAGAGATATTGAGGCCTTGGCTCACCTGTGGCTGTAGAGATATTGAGGACTTGGCTCACCTATCTCTGTAGAGATATTGAGGCCTTGGCTCACCTATCTCTGTAGAGATATTGAGGCCTTGGCTCACCTATCTCTGTAGAGATATTGAGGCCTTGGCTCACCTATCTCTGTAGATATATTGAGGCTTTGGCTCACCTATCTCTGTAGAGATATTGAGGCCTTGACTCACCTATGGCTGTAGAGATATTGAGGCCTTGACTCACCTATCTCTGTAGAGATATTGAGGCCTTGACTCACCTATGGCTGTAGAGATATTGAGGCCTTGACTCACCTATGGCTGTAGAGATATTGAGGCCTTGACTCACCTATCTCTGTAGAGATATTGAGGCCTTGACTCACCTATGGCTGTAGAGATATTGAGGCCTTGACTCACCCATGGCTGTAGAGATATTGAGGCCTTGACTCACCCATGACTGTAGAGATATTGAGGCCTTGGCTCACCTATGGCTGTAGAGATATTGATGCCATATCCCATCCACCTCTTGTGTGCGTTGCTGAGTCCACCACACCATGGCAGGCATGCGTTTATGAGAGTATTTGGCTGCTGATATACATATCCACGTGATAAGCCACTTTGTTGAGATATCGTTTGTGATAGCCAGGTCGCTTCTGAAAAAGAGTTTTACAGCTCAGTGGGCTTTACCGACTAAAATAGAAAACATTGTTTAAATTGGAGTTTTAAATAGTTGACGTTCTTATAGCTACAGGTTGATGCTCCTTGCAAGCACAGGGTGGTGCACTGCCAGCTGCAGAGTTCAACTCCTGAACGAGGGGGAAGCAACGTTCACAAAACCCTTGCAAATGTACAGCCTGGGTCAGTGGGAGGACCGGTACTGGTGGCGGGTTGGTTATGGTTAGACTTGTTGGGAAGGCGAATTCGTGCTAGTGGCTGGTAAGGGTTGGAGTCGGTGGGTAGGCTGGAGTTAGTACCAGTGGCTGGGAAGGGTTGGAGTCGGTGGGTAGGCTGGAGTTAGTACCTGTGGCTGGTAAGGGTTGGAGTCGGTGGGGAGGCTGGAGTTAGTGCCAGTGGCTGGTAAGGGTTGGAGTCGGTGGGGAGGCTGGAGTTAGTACCAGTGGCTGGTAAGGGTTGGAGTCGGTGGGGAGGCTGGAGTTAGTACCAGTGGCTGGTAAGGGTTGGAGTCGGTGGGGAGGCTGGAGTTAGTACCAGTGGCTGGTAAGGGTTGGAGTCGGTGGGGAGGCTGGAGTTAGTACCAGTGGCTGGTAAGGGTTGCTCCACTGTGATTTCATGATGGGATGGGGCATATGGCGAGCATGTGAACTGAGAGATGGGATGTAGGACATGAGAGGGTGTGATGTGGGAGATGGGATGGGATCCATACTCTTTGGTTCTATTCGGTAAAGTCACGTAGGTAAAAAATAAAACAACAAAAATCACGACGTTTCGGCCACAACACAAGCGGCCTTCATCAGGTGAAGGGATCAGGCTGTCTCGAGGACAGCGCTGGAGTGAAACACAGCCACGCTCAGAACGCGGACCTTTAAGCTGTGTGCGAGGAAAGAAGGTGCCTTGACAAAGGAATTAGCATAAAAATAGCATTTGATTGGCCGACTTAGCATAGAGGTGGTGTACGTGCGGGTGGACTTGCCGTTTGGCGCGGGGGGGGGGAGGGGAAGTTTACCTATTGATGGTGTGAAAAGGGAATTTTTAAGAGCTGCGAAAGTTTGGGGTACCACTACTTGAAAAATATACTGTACCATTGATAATTAGTTTAAAGTTTAGTTCGATTTAGAACATCTTTCCAATGGTTGCTTAATTTGAAACCATCTTCTCGGTTGAAATTGTGTCTGCGTTTGTAGATCTGAATTGCCTCGTGAACAAATCTCTGATAAAAACCCGTGGTTTTGCAAAGAACCTTGGTATCGGAGAAAATTATATCGTGATCACCCACAGCTTAAAGGTCCGCGGTCTGAGCGTGGTTGTGTTTCACTCCAGCGCTGTCTTCGAGACAGCCTGATCCCTTCACCTGATGAAGTCCGCTTGTGTTGTGGCCGAAACGTCGTGATTTTTGTTGTTTTATTTTTTACCTACGTGACTTTACCGAATAGAACCAAAGAGTATGGATCCTTGCAGTCACGAAAGCTTTAAATCTAGAATGGGATGGGATGTTTGTGATGGATGTGGGAGATAGGATGGGATGTTTGTGATGGGATGGGATGTTTGTGATGGGGGAGATGGGATGGGATGTTTGTGATGGGATGTGGGAGATAGGATGGGATGTTTGTGATGGGATGTTTGTGATGGAATGTGGGAGATGGGGATGATTGGATGGGTTAGCGGGGAACAGAATTGTGTGCCACGTGCCGTGCAGACGTGGCACACGTGTCTCGTGGCACACGTGGCAGCCAGGGCCTGCTCCGGCACAAATCCAGGCGTTCTCCATCCCAAATCCTCCCGAGACCCCCTCCGCCCCCACCCCTGAGTCCAAAGCCAGATGGAGGTGATCGTGCTGCTGCTGCTGCTGGTGGTGAGACTATGGGGAGCGGCAGTGCAACGGTTAGCGCTGCGCTCCGCTACGAACCCGGCAAATCGAGTTCGATTCCCGATCACGGCCAACACCGGTGACGATTACCTGAACCGGTCCTGGGCCTCCCCTAGGTCGCCTCGGTCTCAAATGAGTACCTGGTGCGGTGAGTGTCGTAAACATCGCTAACACTGGGGGGACAAAGAGAAGAGAGACGCGGACACGGCGGCGGCCTGGGTCCCGATACGGTGACCACACCGGGCTCGTGAACAACGCGCCCACACTGGGGTGGTGCCTGGCGCACGCGAGCATTGGCGAGCACGTGCTCGCGTGTGTCGAGTCTGCCCTTGCATACACACGTGGCGCGGTGGCTAGGAGATGTTAGCTCCCTCGCCTGATATGCAGGAGGTTGTGGGTTCGATCCCGACCCTGACGCCTGCTGCTGTATATTTGGAGTTTGCGTGTTCTCCCCGTGATCGCGTGCGTTTAGAATATTTGGCTGCTATAAATTTCCACACCATAAGG